AATTATGATTACCAATTCCTATCTTCATAGTGGCCTAAATGTTTTGTCTACAGGTCGCAGAGGAGTGTTTACTGGTGCCTCCGGTCTCCAGATCGCCTATCTAAGTGGCATAGATTCCTCTAGTGATCCAGCTCCTGCTTATTGCTTTACTACCAAGGATATCACCTCTCTGAAGATGTCTTTATTATCCAACACAAAATTTAAAGGTGTGGACATATTACTAACTTCACCGTGGCCCAAAGATGTGTGGAATTATGGCAATCCTCCGGTGCGTACAACAGGCGTGTTAAAAGCTTACTTTTTCTGATGGATCAGACTGGCTTTACAGAAATATTTTATTTCAGTGTTTTAATTTCTCAAAAAAACTTCATCATACTTTGTTTCAGACAGATGTTAACCTGAAGACCTGTGGTTCTGAGCAGGTAGCTAGTCTTACAGCCAGCCTAAAACCCCGGTACCACTTCTCTGCTTTACAAGGACAAAACTATGAAAGGCTCCCATACAGGTAGGTAAGACGTGTGTGTCGTATTGATGCATAAAGTGAACCTGAGTGGAAGAACAATGTGATTTCAAAAAGGTGATACTGCTCCATTGAGTCTGTCTGGTAGTTTTTGGATACCTAAGGGACAATAGTTTGTGGGTGTTCTTTACTGAATGTCAAATGAAATGATCTGCAAAACAGTTTTCTTTAGTGTGTGTGTGGGGGGGGGGAGAAAGCAGGTTCCTGTTACATGAAAATGCTTGTTCCTTGGCAATCTTAAATCAATGGCTTGAAGACTTCTAAGCCTCTGGTTTGGAACAAGTATAAAGGTTAATTTTCTAAAACTGTTCCTGATCTGCATTCTTAGCCCAGGCAAGTCTGTAAACAGGCATTTGCAGAAAGTGGTCTCTAAAGGTGCTTTGGTATTTTTATGGATTTTTTGAAGCTGAATTTCAGGCACATGGCTAAATGTAGATGGAATGCATACATAAGAGCTGTTTTAACTGCCAAACAAATTGTGTATACCCATTTACATAGCACAGCCCTGTCTGGCAAGTCAAGAGACATGATTGTGACTTAAAGAGGGAAAAAAAGTTATGCTTGCCTGTTCTGTGCAAAATCATTGCGCAGAACAGCCTCAAACTCCTTTTTTCTAGGGCCCCTCGCCAACACTCCAGGCTCCATCTTGTGTGCCCCCATATCAGCCTGCTCGCTATGGGGGCACACCTGTGTTCGCTCCCAAGCCACACTGCCTGTGTCCATGGACACGCATGGCTCAACCCTGCCCCTTAGCTCCCTCCTCAGAGCATTAGCTAGCCAATTGCTCCTGCTGCTGCCTTATTCCCTGGGGGGTGAGAGATAGTGGGGGTGTGTGTGTTTTTTTTTTTTTTTTTTTTTTTTTTTTTCCCCCTTAATGCAGGGGAATATATTAAGGTAAACATCCAGCCTCTAGAACCACTTTGTGACACTTCCAAATTTTTCTTTCCCCCAGCCTTTGACTGGACAGTGAAAAGAGGCCGCACAATGATCAGCCCCCCCCCCCCCCCCTCTTTTAACCCTTGAATGGGGCTTTAGGTTTTTCAAGAGATGCTTCATCCATGCTGTGCTTTTTAGCCCTCCATGAAGGTTCCAAGAACTAATCCTTGCCTATGGATTGCCTTAAGAAGACCCTGCCTTAACACACTACCTCAAAGATTTTGGGCTTTTGCTCTTTTCTGAAATGAGCAGTATTCTTGGCTGCTTTCACATTCTTTGGAAGTTTCTGTAGGGGTGTTGCTGTTTTCCCATCCTGTTGAAACCTAATGACTGAATAAATGATGACATTTCCATGGGGGGGGGGGGTTAATCCCTGAGACTTCCTGTTCCATTTTGGTTTAACTGAGCCTGTTGCTAAAATAGCTGTCAAAAGATGGTAACGCAGAACTCCAGTCAAAGGATTAAAGGCAGGCAGGTATTACAACAAAAGTCAGAGTTGCTCCCACAGTACTTTTCTGCCAGTAAATGTCCCCAGTCTTCTGGGTTGAATGATTGACTGCCAAATTCATTCACCCCCACACCCTCTGAGCACAGGCTGTACAAGTAATCAAACAACTATTTGGGCTTTAACTGGAAAGGTTACAAATTTATATTTTGAGTACTATCCAGCGTTCACTGTCCCTCAAAGTGGTTCTAAAGGCTGATGTTTTGTTCTGTGTGCAGCTGAATGAGGGTTGCCCAGTGGGTGCCCATGTTTTAAGGTGTGTATGGTGTTTTTGATAAGTTTAATATTTATAAATTCTTATATACCATACTCCTTTCTTTACAGAAATCATGTCGTCTTGCAGGAAAGTGCACAGCATGTGAGCCGGTTTATAGCCCTGGCAAGCGTGGGCAATCCTGGTAAGAAAAAGGTAAAGTGGTGTCACTGGCGTTTACGTTTCTTTCGCACCTTTAAAATGCCAGTGTTTAAAGGTGTGTGTGGTGTGTGTGGGGTTTTTTTTTTTTTTTTTTTTTTTTTTCACTGTTCGCCTCCTCAGTACTATCCTCTGCTGTGCTCTCATGGTATCCCCATAGTGGACAACCTCTTTTGCGGAAACGGTCACAACAAGCTGTGTTGGGCAACATTATCTAATCTCCCAACGATAAGGCTGTTCATTGACAATTCCTGGAGTATCTGGTTTTAGTCTGGACACAGTTCAGGCCACAGTGTTTCTTCCACTTGAGAAACTTCTGACACTCAAGTCAGATTCACTCTCTCAAGACTAGCTTTGTTGAGGCAGTTGTATTTGGCCAATTTCACTCCAGACCTCTACAAAACAATATGCCGTTATGGGACAAGTTGATCTGGTCACTGGACAGTCTGATTCAATTAGCATGCTTGGCCCTGGTCTGGCACCTTAAAGCGGAGTTCTTCCCAAAAGGGGAAGTTAATTCTTTGTCCCCTGCTCCTCATTAAGGGTTTTCACCTTTTTGGGGGGAGCGGGTACCAGAATTTGACGGGTACCCAATTTCGCTGCGATCGGAAGTGGAAGTTGTCTGCCCTCCCTCCTTCCCTGTAGTCCTCTGGGACACATGACATGTCCCAGACTACGGGGCCATTCACGAAGCCACAAGCTGTCACAGCCAGATGCCCACACTAAAGATGCAGGCGACAGGGAGAGAAGACCGCCGGTGAAACCAGTGATGGTGAGGACACTGCTGTACCGAGGGACAGGTAAGTGGCTGTGTTTTAAAAAGTCAGCAGCTACAGTTTTGGTAGCTGACTTTTTTGTTTTCCAGCTGGAACTCCGCTTTCTGAAGTGTGTGTGTGTGTGTGTGTGTGTGTGTGTGTGTGTGTGTGTGTCAAAATAGGAAAGTCCTCTATTAGATGTGCCAGCTGCCATCACCTGTTCCCTATACCACAGGATATATCAGAATAACCAACTAATGGTGAAACGCTAAGCAAGTGAGGTAACTAAGTGTAATATATTTAAATAATAAATAAAACCACTTATCCTGTAAAAGATATTAGAAAACCAAAATCCATATTCCTTGCATGTGCAATATAAAAAAAAATTTATTAAATAGTGTGAACCTAAAGTGCTAATATGTTAACCACAAATAAGTGAACAACCATGAGACTCAAGCAAATTGTATACAAAGTGACACGTGCTCAAATTTCAATCAAAACAATAATGGAAGTGCAAAAACCAAATAACTGGTCTGTCAACCATATTGGTGCAGTGAAAATCTGGGTGATATCCACAACTCAAAATATAAAGTGACAAGTGCTCAAAATACAATAGAAACAAATTTTTATAAATATAATGCAGTCCTCTAGAAATGGGTTGTTGTGTTGTGTTTTTTTTTTTTTTTTTTTTTTTTTTTTTTTTTTTGTGCGCAAACATATGTGCCGAATCCAACACAAAGTGCTTCAGTCTTCATTCCACACTTGATAAGTGCTCTTGGTGACACTCTGTGACTATCCTTAAGTGGCTAGAGTGCCTCCTCAATCCAGTATAATACAGCAGTTCCCATGTGCTATGGGTGTACTAGGGGATTTGGGTATTATACTGGATTGCATGTGAGTGTCCATCTCATTTGGCGTTTTTATAGAGCATTAAAACGTTATTGCACTATGGAGGTCTCTTGTTTACTCCATCATATATACCTGAGTCCGGTTTGCGTGGAAGTATTATCTAGAGATACGCTAGCCTTGGAGTGGAATCCTATTGGGACCAGTGGAGCCAGGTTATGAGATTTCTCCTGGTGTGGGATATCTAATCTGTGGCCCTTAGGGGTTGATGTGAGGAGGCACTCTAGCCACTTAAGGATAGTCACATTAGAGTCACCAAGAGCGCACTTATCAAGTGTGGAATGAAGGCTGAAGCACTTTGTGTTTTGGATTGGGCACATATGTTGTTTGCACATGAAACTTAATTTCTAGAGGACTGCATTATATTTAAAATTTGTTTCTATTATATTTTGAGCACTTGTCACTTTTTATATTTTGAGTTGTGAATATCACCCAGATTTTCACTGCACCAATATGGTTGGCCAAATTGGTTGACAGACCAGTTATTTTGGTTTTTGCACTTCCATTATTGTTTTGATTGAAATTTTGAGCACGTGTCACTTTGTATACTATTTGCTTGAGTCTCATGGTGGTTCACTTATTTGTGGTTATCTCATATTAGCACTTTAGGTTCACACTATTTAATTCAATTTTTTTTATATTGCACATGCCAGGAATATGGATTTTGGTTTTCTTATCTTACAGCTTGATATAGTGGTTCATTTTATTTATTCATTATTTAAATTTTATATTTCACTTTGTTACCTCACTTGCTTAGCGCATCACCATTAGTTGGTTATTTTGATCCCAAGCTGGGCTACATATGGGCATTGAAACAGCATGGCTTGGGGCCATCCACCGCTTCTGCTGCTGCCAAAGTCCATCAAGTAGAGGAAGAGATGGGAGAGGACCGCAGCCAGGCACAGCTCTAGATCGTGGATGGGCTCAGTTAAGTGTTTAGAGTGGGGGTGGGGAGTAGTGCATTACGGTTAAACAAAACAGGCTTTAAAAGCACTTTAAAGACTTCTGTGTACCTCAGTGGTTAAGAGTAGGCTTATGTGCCCATAAAATCTTTTCTCGGAGCCCATTGATGGACAGGGGTCGTGTTAGTTATATGCTCTCTGTACTGCTTTGCTACAAAACCGAGGTATTGTGGTGGCAGGCAGGGTTATTCTGAGCTAGACTATAGAGTGTTGGGTTTTTTTTTCCCCCCCCTTCTCCCCTCCTTGTTCCAAGATTATGCTGTACATGTTTAAACATGCTTTAGATACCTGTGTGAGCTCATTCACACCTACAGTATATGGTCAAAGGTATGTGGATGCCCCTCCAAACTGAGCTCCCAGTGAAGGATACTGTTAATCTTGCAGTATATAGACAATTGTGCACTCTAACCTTTGTGGTACTAGTTTGGGGGGGGGGGGGGAGACCCTTTTCTGTTCAGGATGACTGCCCCTTTTGCACAAAGCTATCTCAGTAAAGATATTTTTTTTTTTTTTTTTTTTTGTGTGTGTGGAATACCTGACAAATACTAATTGTGAGCCAGGTCTTCTCAGCATAATGCCAGTACCTGACATGACTTTTTTCTGAATACACTCCATGTCATTCCACTTTGTGTGTAAGCTGTTATAGCCACAAGGAAGGGGGGGGGGACTAATACTATGGATTTGGCATGGGATATCTAACAAACTGAGTTTTCTGCTGATTGGGTGTCCATAGACATTTGGCCATATAATGTGTCTGAAATGTAATTGTTGTAAACATGTCTTGCAGTACATCTATGCATTTACCATCGTACCAATGAGTTTGATGGATGCGACAGAGCTTGTGAAACAGCCACTAGATGCCAGTGAAAATCCCTACAGGAAAGCGGGAAAGGAAGGCAAGAAGAGTCATTTGGCTACAGGCACAGAGGTAGTGTATCTTTTTTTTTTTTTTTTTTTTTTTTTTTTTTTTTTATTCCAGATTATGAAGGTGGAAATACAATACTTCTGGTGTAAAAGTGTTCAGAATAATTGTAGTAGTAATAGTAGAAGCATTACACACATAGTATTGCCACAAAGATTATTCTGTTACTTACAAATGGTTGAGCAACAGAATGGAGGTAATGGCACAGACTGTTTTTAGTACACTAGGGTCAATGCACTAAAGGAGTCAGTAATGCAGGTCACATGACTAATTTTTCAGAAATATCACGTGAGACAAGAAGTCCATTTTTATATCAAATGTGAGGTAGATACCGAAAAAAGTAATTTAAAGCCAATTCTCTAAAAATCAGACATTCGTTATTTATCTGCCAGTAGGCAGTCAGTAATTTAGCAATGTACAAAATAAACAGTAATTCTGCACTGTCCAGTAGATAAAGTATACATTGTATTAATGTGGAAATGTTCTGGGAATGAAAATAAATTGAAACATTTCAAAGGGAGATCATTCTGTGAGTGAATGATCTTCCTCTGGTGCAGTGTTGGCATGTTTAAAAAAAAAAAAAAAAAAAGAACAGAAAACAAACACTAACTGAGGTGATGATTGCAAAACATAATTTTCGCATTTGCTAAAAGGGGGGGGGGGGGGAAAGGGTTGTGGGTTTTTTTTTTTTTTTTTTGTTTGTTGTTGACTGACTTTGGGATAAATACCGCATGAGTTATTTATCTTTGTGAATTGACCCACTGTCTTTTTGGCACTGGAGCAAGTGGTAGCAATTGATATTCTGGTTAGTACTGTACTGCAACCTAAAACAGACCTTATTTTCCTGCAATTTTATTTTGACTGAAATGTTGCAATAGTTTTATATATAGATAATCTGTCTAAGTCTTGACGGGTTATTTTTGCTACCTAAAAGATATGGTAAAAACTAGTGTCCCTCTTTCCCTCCCAAATTTTAAGTTGGAAGAATAACCCCTTAGAGTTATGACCACGTGTTATGTAATCGGTAGACGTGAATGTATCTGCCAGTAGAGGGAAGCAGAGGTCCAAAGATTAGCCCCATGTTTACCTTGAATATTCTCTAGTGTGTATAAATATATCTGAACTGTTGAAGTGTGCCTTAATGAGAACTGGTTACCTGTTAACATTTTTAGTTCAAGAAAGGTGTACAGAAACTTTTGGCAAGGCTATTTATTCTGATTACTTTAAAAGTTGTATTTAAGAGGTTTGGCACATTAGCAAAAAACTAATACAGTTGATAACAGAAATCCATGAAAAATCATAATTGACACCTTTTTTAAAGCTCATAGGCAATCTCCCAGCAGCTATGGGTTCAGGCATCCACTTATGAAACCCCATTAAACCACAAATCGGGTACTGGGTCAGACTGACAAATAATGAAGTTGTTCCAAAAAGCAGGAATATCTGTAAGAATCCAGGTGAACTTACTTGTACGTGCCAAAATTTCAGCTTATAAAGGGGGGGGGGGGGGTGCGCAAGTGAAAAGTGTCAGAAAAAGGGGGCTGCAAGGTGTGCCTTGGTACCTCGTTGGTAGTGACCAAACAGCTCAAAGGGGGGGGGGGGGGGGAATGTAAGGATAAACAAAGGGGGGGGGGGGGGGAGAATGTCCAGGGGGGCTGCAACGTGTGCCTTGGTATTAGTTTGAGTAGTGCCGAACAGCTCAAAGGCAGAAGTTCGAGGGAGTCAGAAAATTCAAGCAATGTAACCTAAAACTTGGAATAGTTATTTTCTGTGGCCATGAGCTCCTCCATGCGGTTTTTTGTAATATGGTTTAATTCAGCAACCCATTCTCTGGATGACGCATGTCGTGGGGGATTTTCAGTGGCTAGGAATAAAGGCATGACCTGCCATGAGAAGGAAGCAGAAGAGATCCTTTTTTTAATGCATCTAAATTGAGCCTGGAATAATGGGGAGAAGAGCTATTTCTAGTGTCTCTGGACATGCCCTACCAATAATAAGGTGGCTCAAGTGAAATATGGCCTAATTTTGGGGCAGGACCACCATATGTGGAAATGCGTACCACCTGGCTGTTCGCATCTTCGACATATCAGGTAGTGTCGGAATGATCTTGTGTAGCATGGCTGAGCAGCACCATCTGGCTGAGATTTTGTAGTTTCAGTCCTGTGCTGGAGAGGCTAGTGTTCTTTTGAAGGCAAGAAGAGCTTTATCCCAGTCTCCTGGAAAGGGACCATGTCTAAGCCTTCGCACCCAGTCTTGGATGTAAAAAGGGGCGATTGAGGCAAGCTTGTGACAAAATTGCCATATAGTTCGGAGACCACATGTGAGCAGGCTTCATCAGAAAGGCAAATTTCCTCAAATGGGCTCTAGTCCTGTTAGCAGTGTGTCCCTGTCAAGCCGTATAATAGTGTCTCAGTTGGAAAGAGTGCAGCCACTGGCCCCGATATGAACTCTAAGAAGGCGTAAGATACCTAATGTATCTTTTTAGCCTTGTCAGGCCCAGTGCTAGTCTAATAGGCGATGCAAAACTTTTTTTTTTTTTTTTTTTTTTTTTCATTTTGGATAGAACAAGGAATGGTTATAACCACTCTAAGATATAATATATTATTTTTTTTTTTTTTTTTTTTTTCCCCTATCCTTTGTCTCATTACAGAGACTCCACTTCCTGTCCCATAGTCAAACAAGAAGTGAGCGGAAATCCCAGCAAATTCAGGGACTAGCTCTGGTGACCTGGGGGTCCCCAGGGAAGTGTCCCCATTGGAGGATATCTCCTCTGACTTTACTGGGGACAGCCCAAAATTTGGGATTTTCTTTTACTATCCCTTTCAATAATGGTAAACAGGACAGATGGAGGATTAATGTCCTTAATGGGGGGCACAGATGGCAATAAAAACGAACAAGCATTCATATCCATCTACACTCTATCAAAAACTAAATACGTTTTTTTTTGGCTATATTTTTAGAAAACTTTTATAGCTTGTAGCTGCGTTTGGAAACATTGGGGGAGATTTACTAAAACTGGTTCACTCAATCTGGTGCAACTGTGCATGGTAGCCAATGGCTTCTAACTTCCGCTTGTTCAATTAAGCTTTGGCAAAAAACCTGGAACCTGATTGGTTTCTATGCAGATGTGCACCTGATTTTGCGCACTCCAGATTTGGTAAATAAACCCCATTGGGTTCCCTAGGATTGGTATCATTGGGCCCAGATAGGAGAAGACACCATAGGACTTAATTTATCCCAGAGTGCAAGGAGCCAGGACAAGTAGAAGTGTCAGCTCATGTGGAGACAGGCAGTTAGAGGGATGGATCCAGCAAGAGAGGTTAGGGGGAAGGGGCAAATATCCGATTCAAGGTGAACCCATTGTTGAAGAGAAGAGCCTGTGGAGAAACCAGTCTAGGACCCTACACACAGCGCTACCACTGTAATAGAGTTCAAGGTGGGGAAGGCAGGCTCCTGCTTTTTATCCATTCTTTTGCTCTTTTCCTAGGCCAGTGGCCTCAAAATGCCTTTCTCATTGGTGATTTGGTGCTTCTGGAACAGTGTTTATTTTAATAATGCCGTGAATATTGCTGACCCTGTCGACCACAGGTTTGCAACATGCTGTTAATGCCCTGCATGTACCATTGTTCTAAACCCAGTTTTTCTATGCACAGCCCAGTGTTCCACTCCAGTGTCCAGGATCTGCTCAACTTTATCCACTGTCAGTAGACCAGGGGGTTCCTGCTGTCTCTGGCTGACCATGGACTGTAAATGTGAACTTTGTGCTATATTTTTTTTTTATTTTTTTGTATAAAGTGGATTTCTTTTTTGCAAGAGGTCTGTCCTTTCAGATTTGCAATTTAAACACATCTACATTTAAATTTGGATGGTTCTAAACCATAATCAGTTTTTTGTTTTTTTGTTTTAAAACTTACCAGGATGAGCCTGCACAGCAGTTCTTTTTTGATTTGAAGCAGTCGCAAGGAAAACGTCAGTCGGATGGGAGGGGCAGCCAACAAGGCCAGGCAAAACAGCCAAGAAAACACCGTAAGCAACTGAATGCATCATCCTTTCTGTCTTACTGACAACACCAGAAGTGGGGAAAATCTCCCAAATGGGCACAAAAACAGTCAAAATCTGATGGGATGTTTATAACTTTATTTTCAAAGAATTCTAGGTCACTGTGGGTTTGGTATCACTGGGGGATGATTTTCACTTCTATATAGGGCTGCTTCACCTCAAATACAAAAATATTTAGATAAGAGTCGTCTATAGCATTCAGTGAGCCAAATTTGTATGCACATTACTCTAACCTTATACAGTCATGGCCGAAATTGTTGGCACCCTTGATATTTTTCCTGAAAATCAAGTATTTCACACAAAAAAGGTATTGCATTAACACATGTTTTGCTATACACATGTTTTTGATGTATTGGAACAAATATCAAAACAGAGGCAGAAAAGCAAATATGACATAATGTCACACAAAACCCCAAAAATGGGCTGGACAAAAGTATTGGCACCCTTAACTTAATATTTGGTTGCACACCCTTTGGAAAACATAACTGAAATCAGTCGCTTCCTATAACCATCAATAAGCTTCTGACACCTCTCACCCGGAATTTTGGACCACTCTTCCTTTGCAAACAGCTCCAGGTCTCTCTTATTGGAAGGACACCTTTTTAACAGCAATTTTAAGATCTCTCCACAGGTGTTCAATGGGATTTAGATCTGGGCTCATTGCTGGCCACTCAGAACTCTCCAGCGCTTCTTTGCCATCCATTCTGAGTGCTTTTTGACGTATGTTTGGGGTCATTGTCCTGCTGGAAGACCCAGGATCTTGGACGCAAACCCAGCTTTCTGACACTGGGCCCTACAGTGCGACCCAAAATCCTTTGGTAATCCTCAGATTTCATGATGCCTTGCACACAGTCAAGGCACCCAGTGCCAGAGGCAGCAAAAACAACCCCAAAACATCATTGAACCTCCACCATATTTTACCGTAGGTACTGTGTTTTTTGTTCTTTGTAGGCCTCATTCCGTTTTCGGGTAAACAGTAGAATGATGTGCTTTACCGAAAAGCTCTATTCTTGGTCTCATCTGTCCACAAGACGTTTTCCCAGAAGGCTTTTGGCTTACTCAAGTACATTTTGGCAAACTGTAGTCTTGCTTTTTTATGTCTCTGTGTCAGCAGTGGGGTCCTCCTGGGTCTCCTGCCATAGCGTTTCATTTCATTTAAATGTCGACGGATAGTTCGCGCTGACACTGATGCTCCCTGAGCCTGCAGGACAGCTTGAATGTCTTTGGAACATGTTTGGGGCTGCTTATCCACCATCCGGACTATTCTGCGTTGCAATCTTTCATCAAACTTTTTCCTCATCCGTCCACGACCAGGGAGATTAGCTACAGTGCCATGGGTTGCAAACTTCTTGATAATGTTGCGCACTGTGGACAAAGGCAAATCTAGTTCTCTGGAGATGGACTTGTAACCTTGAGATTGTTGATATTTTGCCACAATTTTGGTTCTCAGGTCCTCAGACAGTTCTCGTCTCCTCTTTCTGTTGTCCATGCTTAGTGTGGCACAGACAGACACACAATGCAAAGGTTAAGTGAACGTCTCTCCTTTTTATCTGCTTTCAGGTGTGATTTCTATATTGCCCACACCTGTTACTTGCCCCAGGTGAGTTTACAGGAGCATCACATGCTTGTAACATTCTTATTTATCCGCAGTTGTGAAAGGGTGCCAATACTTTTGTCCAGCCCCATTTTTGGAGGTTTTTTGTGTGACATTATGTCGAATTTCACTGTTTTTTCCTCCCTTTTTTTGTTTTGTCCCAATACACACAAAGGGAATAAACATGTGTATAGCAAAACATGTGTTAATGCAATACGTTTCGTGAGAAATACATGATTTCCTGGAGAAATATCAAGGGTGCCAACAATTTCGGCCATGACTGTATACAGACACTTTGCATATTTTATTTTTCACTTTTGAAAGGACTTTCTAGCTAAATGCCAAATTACATTCTTACTTTCAATAGAACATCTCTTAAAGTCAAAACATTTATTTAAATCCCCCTATAGCGCCTGCCACCAGCAAGCTTCTTGGTTCTTTCAGCAGCCCACTGATGACATGCTAGAAGCAGCTTTGCATCCAGGGCGATAATCTGTCCCTAACAGCTACTTGTGTGCTGTCATTACATCTGAACGCCAGCTGACAGCAGCAGCTATTATCAGTCTGTGGTCATTGATGTTGACTGTTGTGACCACTCCGCCTGTAGGCAATCTGTACATCCAGCTGCAGGGATCAGTTGGCTTCTTGCTATCTAAGTTATTGAGGTGTGTGTGGGGTGGTGGTGTGTTTTTTTTTTTTTTTTTTTTTTTTTTTTTTTTTTCCTTATCAAATGTTTTCTTTTTCACCAACTAGCACAACCCACTGGACCCTGCTGGTTCTGTCTTGCAAGCCCAGAAGTGGAGAAACACCTTGTAGTCAGCATTGGAGAACATGTATGTTGCTGTGGGGCCAGACATTATACTATGTATATAAACATAATACACTTGTACAGTGCCTTGAGTATTCATACCCCTTGAAGTTTTCCACACTTTTGTCATGTTACAACCAAAACATAATTGTATTATCTGGACTTTGTGATAGAACAACACAAAGTGGCACATAATTGGGAAGTAGGAGGAAAATACGCGGCTTCCAATTTTTTTATATATATATATATATATATATATATTTTTGTATTCAGCCCCCTCTTACTCTGATATCCCTAAAATCTAGTGGAACCAATTGCCTTCAGAAGTCGCCTAATTGGTAAATGGAGTCCACCTGTGTATTATAATCTCAGTATAAATACAGCTGTTCTGTGAAGCCCTCAGAAGTTTGTTAGTGAACGTACAGCATCATGAATGCCAAGGAACACACCAGACAGGTCAGGGATAAAGTTGAGAAGTTTAAAGCAGGGTAAGGTGTTATATATATATATATAATATATATATATATATATATATATATATATATATATATATATATATATATATATATATATATATATATATATATATATATAAATAAAAAATACATCTCATGGAGCACTCTTCAATCCATCTGAAAATGTTAGGTTTGCAGTCTTTCTAAGACATGGCCATCCACCTAAACTGACAAGCCGGGCAAGGATGCATTAATCATAAGCAGCCAAGAGGCCCATGGTAGCTCTGGAGGAACTGCAGAGATCTACAGCTCAGGTGGGAGAATCTGTCCACAGGACAACTATTAGTCGTGCGCTCCACAAATCTGGCTTTTATGGAAGAGTGGTAAGGCCATAAGAACACAATCCTCCACCATACACCATGACACACATACCATATATTGTGGTGCTCTGCTTGCTGTGTGTGTGTGTGTCCAAAATGCTTAGTCAGATGCCAGCACTAATCTGTTAGGTATTAGAGGGCTGAGCCTTTAACTGTCCGATAGCCAGTAAACTGTGCGTGTGTGTTGTAAATCCGTTTCTCTGATTTTTCTCTTATAGTGCTACATTGCCCTGGCAAAGGGTGGCCTTATGTCAGACCACATTCTAATCCTGCCCATTGGACACTATCAGGCCATGGTTGACCTCTCTTCTGAAGTGGTTGAAGAATGTGACAAGTATAAAGCCTCCCTAAAGAAGTTTTATAAGTCCAAAGGGAAGCGATATGTGATGTTTGAGCGGAATTACAGGAGTCAGCATCTCCAGCTTCAGGTATGTGAGGATTACAATAAGTTACAGCAGTGACCGGATGCCCTATCTAATGCCACAGCTCCATTATGTGCTGTCCTTCACCTTTGTAATGAGTGGTGGTCTGGAGTTTGCCCATGCTATGTTTTAATCAGTCTGCATTTCCTGTTAAATGCAATTTAAGCAAAGTTGTGTAGTTTGGAGTTTTTTTTACTTTTTGCCCTATGTTTGTTAGCAGATTAATCACATCTCAGTCTTGTATCTCTGAGATTGTAGCGTGAGCTCTCTAATGTAAATCATTACAAAGCAAAAACATTCTGCCGGACTTTGAGGGGGTTAGTGAGATGTTTGTTATTAGGGCATTGGTTTGAACTCTGAAGCCTGTAAGGTTGCTCAGGGATATTTAGCCTTCCTATTCAACTGCTGAAACCGTAAAAGAGAGAAGACTTTGAAAACTGATATTGGTGCAATGTATGACTTCATCTCTGTATTGTAATATCGATTACCATGTTCCTGTGACATATACACAAGTGCAGTTTAAACCTCCAAATATTGGAATGAAGCATTTTAATTCATCGGGAGCTGGTGATGTCACATAGAGTTCCTGCTAAATTTGAGGTTAATGCAAACAGCCGGCTACTCCAAAATCCATGTGGTGTGTTTTTTTTGTTTTTTTTGTTTTTTTTTTTAAGATGCGTTCCTCAGTGAGCGCTGCCTTTGTTTCCTGTGTCTAAAGTAAGGTAAACATTAGCTTTGGGTAAACACTGACTGATGGGAAAAGCTTTACCTTGTATCCCACAGAATTATCCACTCGTGTAGACTTTGTTCTTGCATTTGTGATGTTGCCTCTGATGGCTCACCTGTTGAAGTTGCAGGTTAGCCTGGTAACGTCACATAGAGAATTAGAGTAATAAGCATCATGGGAGATCATTTCAGTCTCTTGCCTTCCGTTGCTTGAACTCTCACAGCTCATTATATCTCATTAGTTTAAGTCTGTACAGGCAGCTTAGGGCTGCCTGGCATGATGACTTTAATTTTCTGAGGGATGAATCCGTCCCTGTGATGACTTAATCTTTTCTTTATACATTCTCCTCCTTTTTTTGTGTGTGTTTTTTGTAAACCTGCAATACTACTTCTTTAAAGCATTTAGAAAACTGAGTTTGATGGCGTGCTAAGTCTTTTTTAACCCCTTTCACTGTCGCAGAAGCAAGGGTATGGCAGAACAGCCCCAGTGTGCCCTCCTATAGTACTGCTCTCCCCCAACCCTTTCTCCAAAGAGGACCTGTCACAATTGGTGTATATTTTGTCATCAGGAAACTTGTTAACCCTTTACGTTTACAAGAAAAAAACCTCCCTTAAAAATACACACCATACAGATTTGTGTCTTTCGTTGCTTCACAAAAAGATGGGGGGGGGGGGGGGAACTACGTATTAACTCACAAAATTTTGACTAAATCTAAAGCATTATATAAAGTTATGCAAATTTTTATCAAAATATTATGAATGCATAACTCTCACAAGGCCTCTAAAATCAGTAGTTCCATTTTTTATTCTATTTTTATTTTTTCAAAGAAAAGTGGATAGTGTGTGGCAGTGAAAGGGTTAAATCCCTAAACAATTGGGAAGCTTCATGTTTGGAATAATTCTCTTACTGTCTTTTGCATTGGGCTAGTAGTCATACAAGCATGTTTGCAGTTTGTTTTGGATCTGTTCCTTAGCAAGATAGCCCATGTTGTTTGCATCCCTTCCTGCAGGTTGTTCCACTTCCATTGAGTTGCTGCACCACAGAAGATATTAAAGAGTCCTTTATTGTGCAGGCACAGGAGCAGAACATAGAGCTGCTGGAAATACCCCAACATACAGATATCAAGCAAGTATGTGCGCTGAATGTACTCACATTTCAATTTTGATTTGAAAACAAAGTTTGGTTTGTAAATGTGTGTATTTCAAAGAAAAAAGCAATATATCCACATTTCCTCGTGTTTTGTTGAAGGGCTCTGCAAGTACAAATAACCAATGTAACAAATACATTCAGCTCCAAGTCCTGTTTGGCTGACAATACCCAGCATTTTTGTGATGTCAGTCCTGCCCAGTGGTTTGGGGGGGGGGGGGGGTTGTTTTTGGTGTGTAGAGGCACAGAGCAACTCTGAATTTCAGACTAGATCAACAGGTAGCATTTTACACTTCTCAGACTATTTTTATTACAGTTACTTGTATAGCACCATCAATTTACAATGTTTAGATATTGTACTTTCACATCAGTCCTTAACCCTCAAGGGGTGTACAATCTAAAGTCCCTAACTTAACATCCACACACACACTATGGCCAATTTAGACCGGATTCAATTAACCTACCAGCAAGTCTTTGGAGTGTGGGAGGAAATTTCACTAGTATATTTAACAGACCAAAAACTTAATTGATCTAGTTTATGTACAGTTTACAGGTCTCCAATTTGAAATTGTTTAATAAACTCTTCAAACAAGGAGAAAGGCGGTCTGTGCTCTGCCCAAACCTTGACTATTCCTTATTCCTGTGCAGTTTTTCATTGCAGCCTGCAGTTTACTAGATCCTAATTTCTCTCCCCTTTCCGCCTCCAGGGTTACTATTATGCCTTGCATGGACCCCTGGAGCTCTAGTTTGCATGCACAATTCCAGCCAGGTCTGTATGCTACTGTGCCAACACTCTGCGTGCCAGTACACAGAGACCTATCAGAAGTCCTGAACTCAAGCCTCTTCCCTGCTCCCCTTACAAGGGATTTAATGGAGGACTTAAAAAAGCAGCCTGTATTCACAGGGTGATTAAGCAACATTGTAATTTGCCCCCGTTTCTTAGAGCAATACAAGTAATTAATGCTCGTTACAGATACTGAACATGTCAGTTTCCTAAAGCTGGCTTGAAATTTGTCCAGTTCAGCAGGGACCTGCAAAATTTTGATCACTGTATAGGCGCACTGCCTCTGCACACAAGTCATTCGATAGATGGACCTGTGTAACCAGCCTGTTGTGTGCTTTTCTGGTATGTATGTATAGTAAGTGCATAATCTTAGCAGCAGGCAATCTGTACGGTGTGAGTCTATAAGAATTGTGAATGGTTCAAATAATGAAATGCAGATCTATGTGTTCGCTGGTGTGGTGTTTGTTTTTCCCAAAAGCATTCATACTTGACTCAATGGCTCTTAACTGTTTTCAGATTGTACAGCCTGGGACACCATATTTCTATGTTGAGTTGGATTCTGGGGAGAAGCTTTTTCATCGAATTAAGAAAAATTTCCCATTGCAGTTTGGAAGGTATTGTTGTGGGTTTTTTGTGTTTTCTCCCCCCCCCCCCCCCCCCGTAACTTCTTTTTTTGATTTGTTTCCTTGACATGCATTTATAACTGTGGGTTTGCTTTTTCTAGTTGACATTATACCATATATTTAAAGCTTTAATTTACAAAAGCTGTAAAATGTATGGGAATAGAGACTTAACAAAACAGAGGTATTATAACAGTGCGTGTATATGTTATTAAAGCAAACCAGTTTCTTCATAATTATCCCCCCTTCCCTGCAGCAAAGTAGGCTCCCATTGTATATCTGTGTCCCTGCCTGGTCCATAAGCCTATGGCCCCTAAAACACCCAGTATGGGCATTTTTATTAGTCTGTATATTTAGGCCATCCTGCACACATCTCCTAGACCTAATTTTAACTGGGTGCATGGTAGATGTATTAAACTACTATTGCGTAAGCAGTAATCCCAAGAATACAGTGTGTCTAATCTTTATTTAGACACACATAGGGAAATTTGACTTTTCGGAGCTGCAAAGGACTGCTTTTATCATGTATACCATGTAACATTGATAAGTAGGTTATGTTGTCCTCTGAAACACTGAGCTTTTGTTTTCTTGTCTAAGTAAAAATGTAGATTTTTTTATTTGCTGGCTTATCTAATGCGTGATTAGAGTGCACACATTCCCACAATGCATTTTTCCCTTTTCAATAAGGTGTCTGGTTTGCTTTAAGGTAGTAACCTTCAAAGTGAAGTCACTTAAACAAAATGGCCCTGACAAGCATTAAGTGCTGAAGTATATTTCACTTGCTCCTCCCAAATGCTGGACTGCCCTGATAGCGCAGAGCTTCGGCACTTCCTGGTAGTCTCTAGGCTTGCTTACTTCCTGGTAGCCTCAAAGCTTGCCCACTTACCCTCCCCAGTACATTCTCTATTGGTCCATCACTATGATGGGTTGTGTAACTGGTCATTAGGAATGGATGGAAGGCAGCATGGAAGTAAAGCATGTCCGTTTTGCGTGCTCAGGACTTTCTGGCATTTGGGTTATGTGGGAGGTGACAAACTACAAAAAGCTGCTGATATTATTCTGGGGGAATTCTGCCCAGTTGCTATCTTGCTGTTGGCTGCTCAGCTGCTTGTGACACTTTTCAATATCTCTTGCCTTGAATTCAATATTTATCTTGCCTTGCATGTCTGTAAAGTACTTATTGATATGTTTGTTTATAAAAGTTGTGTTTTAAGTGCCTTTTTAACCACTTGCCTACTGGACACTTTTTACTCCCTTCCTGCCCAGGCCAATTTTCAACTTTACGCTCTGTTGCACTTTGGGTACAGTGTTGCATGACCACGCAATTGCCATTCAAACAAAATGTGTAATTTTTTTTTTTTTCTTAGTTTCTGTTATACAATTTTGTAAAGTTATTTTTCTCCTGCATTGATGTACACGGATCATCAGTGCCCCGATTATCAGTGCCCATGTCCCCTCTGAGGAATGCTGCTTACCGGCTCTCCTCACACTGTGTGATAGGACTGCCGATAATGGCACTTCCTATTTAGATGTGATCAGCTGTGTCCAATCACAGCTGATCACATGTAAACGCCTACTGCGATCTGTGTCTCAGGGACACAGTGCACCACTGATCATCATGTGCCCGGGGGGGGGGGGGGGGGGGGTGCACATGTGCAGCTAGAGTGGGAAAACCTCATCTGATGTCCTCCCAGAACGAGCAAACTGCCACCCATCCGTCATTTCCTTATATGGCAGACAGGAGCCGTTTGAGAAAATTAATAACAAACAAAACTGACAGCCTGGGTACAATAGAAAAACATGTTATTTTGTTTCACCATTCTAGAGAGGTTTTGGCAAGCGAGGCCATCCTGAATATACCAACCAGAGCTGACTGGAAAGCGTGCAAGTTGAGCCAGGATGAAGAGGAGAGCCTGGCCAAGTCTTTCCGAAAGGAATTCGAGCCATTTGACTTCTCTTTACAGGACTAATTCCCATTTACTCTGGTTTTCTCTTTTATAAATGTCTGTACATGCAATGGAAATACTTCCTATTTACTTGTGAAAATAAAGCAGTATTTTGTTTAGAAAGCTACTCTGGTGACTTGTGAGAAATTAGCTGTTTTTGTCATACGTTTGTCCAGCTCACCAGGTTGTTGGCCTTGATCAATAAACTGTTCTGTGTACAGTAGCAGAAGCAAAACATTGCTGTTTTTCATCTGTGTTCATATGTAGTAACAGTAATATTGATGATCCCATTCACACACTTTCCAGGATAAGGCTTTAGGAGTAGCTGGTGCTGTAGCAACAACCAACTGGAACTGGAGACACAGATCAAATGCACATATTTGCCAGCACACCACTCATCGTCCAATTGCATCCAAATCTTTATTGAATGATCACATAACAGAAAAACCTAGTGCAACGTTTTGGAGATGCACAGGATCACATGCCTGACAAAAGGCGTCACTGATGTGATCTTCAGTTGAAATTTCGATAGATGCAATAAATCACTGATCCGTGCTTATCTAGTGTTAACATGCACCAGACTGGCTCATGGACATCGCAGTTTGCATTTTGAACAAGCCGTAGAAGATCTTTTAAAAAAAAAAAAAAAAAAAAAAAAAAAGCGATCAATCTCTTTAGCTGCATTTACTGTGAAGTAATGCTCAGACCACATCAGAGAAACCAGCTGAAATGCCACTGCAGAGTCTAACAGCTTACATTAGCAGGTGATTCTGTTTGCCATGTAACTTGGAAAAAAGATGAAATTTCTGTGTCTGTTTTGAAATTTTAAAGGGATGCATTTCTCCACAATGTCTATAGCTACAGAAGTTGGATGGCCTCCTTCTCCTTCCCCTTTTTTTTTTTTTTTTTTTTTTTTTTTTTTTTTTTTTTGTGTGCAAAATATATGTAAATTCTTTTTTTTTTTTATGTGCATACTCTAGCAGGTTCACTTCAACATTTTGTAACTGTTTTGTGTTGTCTGGACTAAATAGACCAATGATGCATATGTTTGAAAAACTGTTTAGAACCACGCTAGAATTTAAATATTAATCCGTGGTGCTTGTGGGTGCAACCCCACTTTTTTTTTTTGTTTTTTTTTTCTCTGACAGTGGACGTGTCCTAAATGCTGCAGAGAGCAGCACTATGTAATCTCTAGGGCTGTTTACTAGGTGAGCAGGGCAGCATGTTGCTGCCCTAGAGGAAGGATCCTTGATGCTCTAGGTTCACAGAAAGTGGGTTGAATAATGCTAGACATAATTTTAACCCAGAAGAGTATCTGCATTGGATCAATTTCCAGTGATAAAGTTGAGTTAGAAAATCTGTGGGGATTTGTTTATTTTATTAACCTGCTGTTTGGGATTTATCGTATTATCATTTTGCAGGCTTGCCTATTTATTGGTTAGCCCAGCTACCTTGCAGCACTGGAGTCCTCTGTTTTAATCCTGGCCAGGACACTGCATTTAATTGTGCATGTTCTCCCTGTGCTTGTGTGATTCCCTGGTGTACACCACTTTCTCTGATGCCCCAAAGACCTACTGGTAAGTTAATTGGTTCCTGACTAAATTGGCCCTACTATGTGTGTGTGTGCATGTGAGATCAGGACCTTTAAATTGTAAGCACCTTTAAGGGCAGGGACTGTAAAGTGTTGTATAATTTGTTGGCACTATAGAAATGCCTGTAATGATTTTGCCTCTTTATTTAGCTTTGCTTCATCTTGGTCTTTTACACTTCTGGCTGTTTTCAGGTCAGAGTGTAATGTAATCGTTACATGACCAGATGTCTGATGGGCAAAGTGTGGGCTGGTATTGCTCATTCTTTCTAAATGTGCATCTGACACCTGATGTGCAAGGAGCTGGTTACTATTGGCAATGGTTCCACATGTGCTTCTGTTTTTCAAAATTGAGCCCTAGTGACCAAATTGTTGGGTGTATATTATAAACATTGGTGTTTTTAAGTTCGTTCATCGAAACCGCATATAATTTTTATTTTGTGTGAATGGGGCAAAACCATGCTATATTCTCTGCACAGAAAATTTGACATTATGGCCACTTTGGCTCACTTTTAATGTCTTATGCATAAAATGTCTTTTTGGATGAAACAGACTTGGACAGAAAATACTGATTATTATGGATGGAAGCCTGTGTGGGTTTTTTTTTTTTTTTTTATGGAGTATAGTGATTGCATTTCTTAAAGTGCATTGAATACTGAAATATTTAATTTCAGTTCATAGATGGTAATTCATAGCAGTAAAATGAAACTTTCGCAAATGTGTTCATGACAAGTTTAAGTGTGAAGAAAAAAAATGTAAGATGTGATTTTGGGGACAATCCTTTTTGAGGCTGTGTGTGTGTGTGTCTCTCAAACTAGTAAATAAGGGTCTATATAATTTTAACTTTTTGAACTGAAATAAAAATTACCTGATATTCCAAGAATCGTATCCAACAGCAGACACTGAACTTTCAGTGGTCAACATAGACATCTTTCGGGTAGACTGATTTTCTCTTTGTAAATCTCTGACCAGAGTTGCAATTGTAGGAGCAATGCCGGATATGGTGCATAGGTGGCACACAAACATGGGTTTTGTCCCGTTCTTGTTTATTTTGTATGCCAGATGAGAACTCGCAGGTGTGCATGTTTTTATTGGCTTTTTTTGGGGGGGGGGGGGGGGGGGGGGAGAAGGGTGCTGCTATTTGTGTTTTTTTTTTTTTTTTTAGTGGAGGTAAGAAAAGTTATCACCCAAATAATGCATTTCCTAATCAATGGGAAAGTAGAACTAGACATTAAAATTATTTGGGAGATAAAAAGTTTGACATTTTCAAAGAGTGACTTTGTAACAATCTAATTCCATATCTTCATTCTCTTTTAATTATGTTACTATTCTACATTCCAGCTCAAACACTGTTATAGTGGCTTAATGGTTAACACTTATGGCTTGCAGCACTTGGGTCATGGGTTCTAATCAGTCATGGCAGCACTTGTCTAGAGTTGCATGCTTTCTCTGCATGGGTGTGTGTTTCTGCCAAAACTCCAAAGACATGCTGTTGGGTTAATTGGGCCTTGTATATGTATGAATTTCTGGCCTTACATTGCAAGCGCCTTGACGTTACAGCCCATTGTGATGGCCCAAAATATGGAGGTCAATTTCTGGGGCTGTCAGTGCCAGGATTATTGATCAATGAATTAAGATTTTGACTACTGACTAGAAAGGAGAGAGGAACAGCTGCCTGGTGTATGCTTGTGTCTTAGCCACCTGTATAGTTAGGAAGAACAATTTCTTCTATGGAATACCCTGAACCTCTACTATGTACCTTATTCTATTTTCAATAGAAAATGTGTCCGATTCCTAGATACAATTATTAGTAATGTTTCTACTGAAGTAAGCATGAATTAACCCCTTAATATTATAAAGCATCCTGACTTCTCATTTTGCCCGAATGTACTCGATTATGCATGGGCCAGATCTGTGTGCCCAGATAGAGGACCTCCCAGTGGCTAGTCTCTGGACAAAGTGCCAAAATGTTACTTGTGAGCTAATATGGTGAATTCCAAATAAAATATAGTGAACCGTATATATGTACACAAAAAATTTTATGAAAACCTTTTCAATATACCCAAATAGGTTTGCTACCGCACTACACAAACTCATAAATAGTGTGATATACAATCAAAAAACTGTGCTGCGCTCCTATACTGTTTAAGATTAATTAACTACACACAACAGTGGGTCCTCTAGGGTACTATGCAAAGGGTTTGCTAAAGAAAACAAGTGTCTGTGTTTTCACAACCGGTTAATTTCTCCCCTCCATGTGCCATGCAGTATGGAAGAATAGAAGATACACAGTGGGTGCTGGTGATGCTCACGGAGCTGGAAATGAAGTGGAGCATTTTGGAGTGGATAGAAGGTGGATAAGATCCCTGGAGGAGTGAAGTTGGTTTGGGAGTGGGTATAAGGAGGATTAGACCCCAGGAGGGGAGAAGGAGAAAAACATCCATCCATCCATCCATCCATCCATCCATCCTCAGATCTTTATAGGAGAATATTTAAGTGGAGAGACACCAAGTGGATGATTTTAATATTATGGTGTGGAACCATTCAAAGAAATTTTGGGAATATCATTATATATATAGTTATCCTTTCAGGATAAGCAGCTGGTTTAGCCTATATATTGGGCATAATATAGAGGTGAGCGCTTAATAGAGCTGTATATATCCTGCAGTTTTTCACATGTTCATAGAACTTCTTAGAAAAGGACTTTTTCTTCATTGTTTTTTGGATACTTTTTTTTTTAATTTTTTTTTTTATATAAATTTTTTTGAGTGGATTTATGTTTTGGGGTTTATAATATACTCTCTTTAAGGAGGACGTTTATAATCTTTAGCTTGACACTATTTTTTTGAATGGCATGAAAATTCAAGGATTCACTGTTGTGTGTAGTTAATTAATCTTAAACAGTATAGGAGCGCAGCACAATTTTGTTTTCCAGATTGTCTCTGGACAAGGTACACGTATAGTTATGCCTGATTTATGTTGAGCTGCATTTAGTCGATATGTTGCAATGGCCAGAAATATTTGGACCCAAACCACATGAGCTCAGGTCTTCAAATGTGAATGTTCCTTCATTGTATTCTTAATTATGTACTGTATGGGCCTTGCCCATTCTATATGAATGCCTTGTTCTGGTAGGTCCTCTTACAGACTTTAGCTACATGTGGAGGAAATTACACTGAGTTTTCAGCAGACTGCATATTATCTGGCCATCTTAAGTCTAAGAAATAGAATCATGATGATATGACTTTTTTTTTTTTTTTTTAGGAACCAATATAGTCTTTATTTGACACAAAAAAAAAAAGCAAATACATGGCCTGATGTGAACACATGCCTGCAAGCTCCCAATTAATTGGAAAACCAAAACCAGGCTCAGCTCTTTGCTAGCACATGCCTCAGCCACATCTGGAAAATATGGAGACTCCAATATCTGTTGCAA